TGATTTTGCTGTCTAATGTCTTCCTTGAGACTCCAGATCATCTGAAGCATGTAAATCCTGAATTCTTTATCTGACATTCCATCTGCTGCAGCTATTACCTCTTCTAAAGTTGAGTTAACCTGCATTGCTTGTGGTCCTTTCTTTCCTTGTCTTTTCATACTGCTCACGTTTCTTTCTGCTTGGTGAAACTGTTGTGTTATTGAATTTTCCCCCTATATATTTATATTGCTCTTGTATAGTTGCAAAGTCTCCTTTGCAGGGGGCGGGTGGCGCCTGTGCTCCTCCTCCAAATGGGGTGATCTGTCTACCACGCTGGCGGGCCGCTGGGCCTGTTCTCCAGATCGCGTGGTCTGCCTACCTTGCAGGCGCGGGCGGCGGCTGTGCCCCTCCTCCAATTGGGGTGATCTTTCAACTAGGCTGGTGGTCCGCTGTGCCCCTTCTCTGGGACGCGCGGTCTGCCTACCTTGCGGGCGGTAGCTGGGCCCTTCCTCCAATTGGGGTGATGTGTCTACCACGCCGGCGGGCTGCTGGGCCTCTTCTGCCGTTTGGTCGCAGGTCTTAGAAGATTCTTAATCCCAAAATTTTATTGAATTTCATCTTTTTAATGATTTAGAAAGCATTTCCTTATAGTCTGAATATTAACACTTAACTTTATGGCTCTTTAAATGTACCAGTTAAACTTTGGGTTAATAGAAAGCTAAATAACAGAAGAACTCAGTTTGGTGCATTTTAAGTTCTCCGTGTCAGAAGGAGCCAAATGGAGCTGTCCTTTGAAATGAAAAGTTTCTTATAATGGATTACTTAAATACAAATTCATTGTTTAATCAGCCACTTCTATAGGAGAGGGGGAAGAAAGGAGCAATACATAAGAAAAAGTAACCTAATCTAGCTTTATTTTGAGGAGAGTGTCTATTACTGAGATTCTTATGTATCTTTTCAAAATATTATTTACCTAGTCCTTCCCTTCATTCTCCCCTCTGTCTCCTTTCCTTCCCATCTGATGCCTTGCTTTTTTCACCTTACAGTGTAATCTTGTAGATTGTTCCATAAAATCAATTAGAGATGAACTTTTTTCCCTATAAAAAGTTGGTATGTTCTATCATATAAAGGGATCATAATTATTTAAGTAAAACTGAGGGATGTTTAATTGTGTCTAGTCTTTTGTGATTGATGTTGCAATGACTATCCTTGCACTATTGTCCTTAGTCTTTGTATAGACTAAGGACAGAATGTTTCAGGAGTCCTATGGAGTACATTCCTCTAAGTGAAATTGCTAGTGTATGCATTTAAAATTTGATAGCTATTGCTAAATTGCTTTTCAAGACCTTTTACTGGTTTAAAACCCTGTGTGTGCCTGTTTATTCATTTTCATATCAGCACTATATTATTGAACTTTTTGATCTTTACCAGTCTGGTAGTTAGAAAATGATGACTATAGCTTGAACTTGTTTTAGTTATTATTCAGAGCTTTTCTTCATCTATTCCTAAATTTTCAATGATTCTTTTATGAGTTGGACAGCTGGAGCAGTAGGGATGGGGCAAATTATTTATGAGCCAAGTGTTTCTGCCAAAACAGCATTGCTTCCCAGGCTTACTAAGTTACCATGACTGTCTTAGAGCCAGGCAGCCTCTGATCATTACTTGCTTCCTAAAGCCCTTGGGTGGGGGTAGGAGTGACCACAGTGGGAATTCTGTCGAAGGACAATATGTGCTATCCCTGTCAATGATGAAGGTTGGTACCAATCCTGTAGGGGATTACTACCCTCTCTTGACCCCCCTTCCATACTTCACCATTTTTCCTGGTGTGTGCCACTGATATTGGTTTGCTAACATAACTACGCAGGCTGTTTAAATTTGTTCATCAAGCCTGTACACATTGGCACTGTCAACAAGGATTATTTTTAATACAGTGCAAGACAACAATTCTTTTTATCTCTATAAATCAAGTAATGGCAAAAATCAAAGCCAGATAGGAATCTTTGAGCAGTATGCTCTGGCTTGCATTCTATCCAAGCAGCTCTGTTGCCCAGCTTTACTTTCCTTCCCTGATTTTCCACTTATCCTGATTTCTTTATCTGCTTAGTTTTTAATTTAGTATGTCGTTTTTATTTTAGAAGAAAATGCAGACTATTAATCAATAATAGCAAAAATTAGATCAAATGAAAGGGAAATTAAAAGTTAAAAAATACATTCATTGTTATTTGATTTGTAACAGCTCTGCTTCTACCATTTATATCAACTGTTTCTATTATTTGAACAAAATGCTATCAGTAGTTCCATGTTATGTTTCTTTAGCCACTAAATAGACTGATTGGAGCGATAGGCTTGGGACAATTCCTAATAAAAAGGACAATTCCTCAATAAATAGTTTGTGGAACAAATGTACCGTGTATACATTCCTTTTGACTTACTGCTTATTTGGATTTCAAAACAATTTCTTCTTTCTGGAACAATCTGAAGTAATTCCTTAGATATTGAGCCTCAATAACCCATCCCTTTGTAGAAGACCATCTGAATTAGACAGTCCCCAGGCCTTGTCTTTTGAGGAACGTCTATAGACATGTCTCTCAGCTTCAGCTGGGTCACAGTTAAACCATTCAAACCAAACCTGAGGGAATGGCTAAAAATCGGCTTTGTAATGGGGTGAGATGTATTTCAACACAAACAACAATAACAAGCATAGAGCGATCCATACCTATCCATGTTTCTTTTTATTCAGGTCTGACCATATCTTATTTTTTCTTGTATACATTTTTCATTTTGCCTTACTTGTTTTTTTCTTCTTAATAGGTTGCTTGCACTCATTTGGATGTGGATTTAGTCTGCATAACTGTAACAGAAAAACTACCATTTTACTTCAAAAGACCTCCTATTAACGTGGTAAGTGTTACCCTTTCCATTGTATGTTTGAGTCTGTAGAAACTTACATTAGCATATTGGAAAGGAATAGAAGAAATCAACATTCTTAGAGGGAAAAATAAAAACTAGGTAAGAAAAAACAGTTTTAGAGAAGATGATTTTATTTTTGCAAGCTAAAATAAAAAGTATCAAGATGTTTTTGAAAAGTCTTAGAAATTAAAATTTATGAACAATGTTTTTTAAGAGGGTAACTACTAATAATGGGTGCTTATATCCTGAACATTGAATATTAAGGAGACAGAACAGTCAAGAAAGATAGGAAAAGTAAATAATAATAATAATGATAATACACAGAGAGTCCTTGAGATACTAGCAAACTCAAAAGGAGTAAGGAGCAAGGCATGGAATCACCTGGGCATTAATTATGCAAAATTATAATCTGCATTGAAGCATACTAGCTCACACAAGAGCCCAGGGTTACTTTTATAATAACAGTGTGGCCACATGTTCAAAATACTTGGAACTCAGAAGAAGTAAAAGACCTCCACAACGAAAATTACAGAACTAAAAAACAAAACTAAGGAAATTGAAGAAGACCTTAGAAGATGGAAAGATCTTGCATGTTCTTAGATAGGCAGAGTTCATATTGTCAAAATGGCCATACTATCAAAACTGTTATATAGATTTAATGCGATTCCAATTAAAAGCCCAATGTCATTCTTTGTAGAACTTGAAAAAGCAATCATGAAATTCATTTGGAAATATAAGAGACCCAGAATAGCGAAAGCAATCCTTAGCAAGAAAAGTTAAGCAGGAGACATCACAATACCAGACCTTAAACTATACTACAGAGCAATAGGAACAAAAACAGCATGGTATTGGCACCAAAATATTCTTCCCTGTTGCTACAGAATTTTCTTTTTCACCCATCTACATAATTTTTTCTTGTTTTCCTTTACCTTTCATCTGATATCTGTCATACTGCTCTCTAAAGTCTCAGTCCCCTTCCATTTCCATTCTAAAGGTGACATTATTTCATACTAGTAACTATTTGATAGTTATGAGGTCAACAAATATGTTAACTATTTGCTTTGGGAGCAAGATCTTAGGAATAATATTTTAGAACAATGGCTTCTAAAACTCAATCTTGTTCTCAAAAACTACTATCCAAGCAAAAAGTTTGCCAAATTACATACCAAAATTTTTTCAGAATTGGAATATTAATTTTTTTCAAAGTGGTTAATTCCTTATTCTTTTGTCTCTTTAGAATCATTACTCCTGGATTGTTGTTTTTTTGTTTTGGTTTTGACTTTTTTGTTTTTTATTTTGTTGGGATAGAACAAAATAAATTTGGGAAAGAACCTAGGAGTGTTTCACCCCTGAGCTACATTCCCAGCCCATTTTATTGATTTTGAAACAGGGTCTCACTAAATTACCCAGGCTCATCTCAGCCTCCCAAATCACTTGGTTTATAAGCATGTGCAATCACATCCTGCTTACTTGCTAGATTTTTGTTTCCATTTTCTCCTAAGGAACTGATTTGATGCTGAGTATTAAGAAGAGATAAGGATGGGAAAAAATGGATATGTTTGACATAGAAAAATTTAACTTGACTTATTTACTACCCCTGAAAATATGCTGCTAAATACAGCTCTTTTTTGGTTAATGAAGACCTCTGAACAAGTTCAGTATTGGCTGAACCTGAATCATTGGTCTCCCCATGCCTGTACTAATACTTCTAAATAAATGAAGAAACACTTACACCTGAATCATCACATTTTGGAGTTTGAAGCTCTGTGTACTGTTGAGCTCACTTATAAAATATGGGATAATGAAAACTAGTAAGAGGTCATTTAACTTTTCAGTCACAGGGTTAAGGCTGTTTTCATTGGTTGTCTATAAAGTAAGACCTCTGATGTGTGCCCCAAGTAGTTATGATAAAAGCCACAAATTAATACAGTACCCAAGTTTAGGACAGTAAGTCTTGTTGGCCTCATGTATTTTTTTCTCTCCAGAAGTAGCAATCTGTCTTTAGAAGTTTGCCTTAGCTTTTTACCAGCTTCATTCTGCCAACCCATTCCTACACAAATAGCATCTCCAGAGTTAGGCATTGCAGCCACTCTGCAAATTATTATTGAACTACAACTTTTTCACCTTTTTCTTCACCTTAATAAACTAGGAAGGCCATCTTCTAGGTGGCTCTGCCTGAATAAGTTCACACATGATACCATGTGTTGGTTGGGAGGAGACAGTGGCATGTGATGCTGAGGCCAAGTCCATGGAGAGGACAGCAATGCACAGCACATAATTCCTCATGTTCCATGACAATGGTAAGATTGCCAGTGCTGATTTTGGTGAGGACTTGTAATTGAATTTCTTATGAACTCGCCTTCAATTTAAACCAGATTGCAAGCTTCTAGAGCATACCAGCTGTGCATAGGCCTTTTTTTAACTACTCCCAATATCTTGCCTAAAAGTCTTTCTTGAAATTTGCTCCTTGAATTGGAATATTTCTAACTTGATGTATCTGGGTTCAGCTTGGGAATCTGGCCTAAGTGGCTGTCAGTGTTGAGCAGGAAGTATATGCATTGAGGAAGTGGGGCATAGAAGCAACACGACCAGGAATGTGGCACTTGATGCAAAAGCACCAGGACATCCCAGCCCTTCCCCATTCCATCTGGAGGTGCAGGAAAGCTGCTATTGTGTGATGGGTATTTTTGGCATAATTCCCACATTTTTCAACTTAAGAATTCTTCAAGTAAAAAATTTGACGGGAGCGATGTGCAATATTTAACACAGTGTCTGCTTTAAAAAAAGTCTTGTGAACATATTACATATGTTGTTTAATAAAAACTAGATTATGGAGTGGAAAGAAAGGCTTGCATAAGATTATTTTTAGTTTTCATCTAGTATAGAAGTAGACTGTGGTATGAGTTGGTCAAGTAGCAGAAAAGTCCCTATTCTTTATTCACTTAAAAGAGAAAATGAAACACACAGGTATCCAGTTGATTGTCCAGGGCAAATAATAGTTGTTGCATAGGTGTGTGTTTATCATTTGCAATATCTTGTCTAATGTTGGTACGGAACTATTGGAGATATACTCATTGTGAAACCATCATTTAGTGCATATGGGTAATAGTTCAGTGTTAATTCTTGGTCCTTCCATGTTTGCATGGCTTTGAGGATAAATTTGTCTTTGGCCATGAGAAGTTGATAGGTTAGCTTTATAAGGATCACTTTATTCAGCACATAAGAAAACAACACAGATCTAAATTGGTGTCCTTTTCTTTAGTGATAGTGAAAAGCGGGAGTATTAAGATAGGTAATTCATTAGACTTACCTTTAGGCCAAAAGCCATGTGAGAATTATCAGCTCAGAAAATTGAGATTAGGGACTAGGAGCTGGAGCACCCAGCGTTTATACCAAAATGCTCCATTTGTGCACTTGACTCAACAGCACTAGGTCTTTTTGTCATCTTCACCATGTGCTTAGGGCACCATAATATCAGTTGTGCAGATTTCTACAAAATCTTCTACAAACCTCTTCTGGAATTTTTAGTTAATTTATATGGCTATCTCAGCTCTACTATGTGATAGATATATTTCCAAAAAATTGGATTCGACTGCTTTTTGTGGATTATCAAGTGACTTCCTCAGCATTTTATAGCAAAAGCATTTTCACACCTGTTGTGGCCCAGTAGCTTTGAAGTGGGGTGGATGTTCATTATCTCCATATGCAGGTAATGAAATTGAGCCTCAGGTAGTTTGTGACTCATGGTTAAATGTTTCTCTCAAAGAGTTGGCTAGGGATTTTTATTGTTTTGATTCCAAATCTGTCATTCTGAAATGCTATGTAAAGTTATTTTACATCTGAACTCTTTGTTAAACACAGAATAATTTCATATTTTAAAACATGATCTTTAGGCCTCCTGGTACTTACCACAGGCTGTGTTCTTACACTGACAATATAGAAAGAGGAGGTGGAGTAAGCATACTGCATGTACACCCAGCCCAGGCCCTGTGCCTGGTCTGCAGTATGAATGGGGAAACATGGAATTGAAGAGAGAGAGAGAAAAAAAAAAAAAATGATCTTTATTCATTTGTGTTTTGAGAAGGATTTTTTTTTAAGCACCACGTACCTTTACCTTTGCTCTGTCTTTTTGTTTTTTAATGTTATTGCCATTAACGGTGACTTCAAGTTATCTTTAATTACTTTAGAAATTTTTTTAAAAAAGAAAAAGAATAAACAATACAAAAAATGGATTAAAAATGTTAAAAGACATTTCATAGGAGAGGAAATACAAATTGTCCTTTAAACACAAGAAAAGTAGCCTAAGGTTTGTGGATGTAACTCAGTGATAGAATGCTTGCTTGGCATTTAGGGTCGCTGGGTTTGATTCTCAGTACCACCAAAACAAAAAGAAAGAGAAAAAGGAAGAAAAGATATTTAAATTCACTATAAGACAAATTCATATTAAAATCTGCCTATACACTGTCGTAATGCTTTGGGAAAATAGGCATTCTCATACTTTGTTTGTAATAGTGTAAATCAGAACAGTTCCTGAGGGGAGTGGGTAATTTGGCAACTATTAAAATCACAAATAAACTACCCTCTAACTTAGTATATTAGTTTCCTAGATCTTCTATAACTGAGTACCACAAACTTAAGTGGTTTAAAGCAGCAGAAATTTAAGAGCTGAATATGGCTTAATGATAAGAGTACTTGCCTAGCAAGTACTTGCCTTCTCAAGCCCCTGGTTTGATCCCTGGTGCCACCAAAAAAAAAAAAAAAAAAAGTCTAAAACAATAGCAATTTATTGTTTCACAGTTCTGGAGAATAGAAGTCTAAAATCAAGGTATCAGTAGGATAGTGTTCCCCTTCAAACCTGTAGGTAAGCCTTGCTTACCTCTTCCTATCTTTTGGTGATTTTGCTAACAATCTTTGACTATCCTTGGCTGTTTGCTGCATTAACCCCAGTCTCTGCCTTTGTATTTATTTACAGTATGTTCTCCCTGTGTGTCTTCACATGGTCATCAATATATAATTAATCATTAGCACATATTGATTGTACAAATTAATCTTTTTTATGTGATGTTTCCATACATGCACATAACATAGTTTGATTATAACCACCCTCCTTATTCTTCCCCTCTTATTATCCTTGCCCTTCCCCACATGTTCATCTTCTTGTAAGGATACCAGTCCTGTAGGATTAGGAGCCTTCCTTCCTTCTTACAGTATGACCTCATCTTAATTATATTTGCAATGACCCTATTTTCAAATAAGATATATTTGTTATGGTTGGGGACACAATTTATAATATCCAGCAAACCCACATTAGTGTTTATTCTACAAGTAGTTGATACAACCCAAATCTATCAGTAGAGGGTTGGTTAAACATTATATACGCTATATCTTTACAATGTAATACTATGCTGCTATAAAGAGAATAAAGAGGTTGTGGCCTGACATGGTAAAGCTTTCAGGACAAAGCTACCTTTAAGGTAAGAAAAAGAAAAATAATACATGTTCATAATTGCTTATGTTTGTGTGATGAAACTGGAAGAAGACAAGAAGTTAATAAAAGTGGTCACGGGAGGTGAAGATGGGGCAGATAAGAGCAGAGATGCACATAAGACTATTGTTTTCTTATTTTTATTTAATATGCGGCTCTTGTGAACAAATATGTATTGTCATCCATTTGAATTCAATTAAAAAACTATTTTTTTAGGAAATTGACAGAATATTGTCCTAGTAATCAACTCCCTGTTTTCTTCTCTTCTTTGTCTACAGCTTTGCTTAAGTTTTTATACTTGAATATTATGGCCATTTTCTCTTAATTCAAGTATTACACACCTGCCTTTGGTAGCATCTTTATGACTATTATTCTCATTAGTAAAGAAATCTAAGCATCGCCTATTGCAGAACCTTTGGTCAGATATGGGAACAAAAGCCAATCAAGCAAGCACTGTCATTCTTTATGAAGAGGCTATTATGAACAATCATTTGATGAGTATACAGTGATTTACATTAAAATGGTCTTAGAAACAGGAGTGCAGGTAATGAGTCTAAATTTTATTCATCTAAAGATTTTAAATAAGGTGTTATGAGAGAAATGTGCACAACCTTCAATGGCACATTATCTTTTATTTTTCTTTCTCAAGAGTATTCTTGCCAGTTTTAAAATGAACTTGATTAATGTACCAAGATTAATATCATAACTTTTTTTAAAGAATTAAGCTGATAATTTTATCTTTATTTTTGTCTCCTCTACCTCACAATGAGTTTTTAATTTGCTCTGATCCCCGCAAGGGTTTAGAAATTTAGGTTCAGTCAATTAGGAATATTTGGGGATCTGATCATCCAGCTCTAAATCTTTCACTTATCCTCTTTATTCTACTGCTTTGTGTTTTAGTCCCTAAACTAGAGGAATGAGGAAAGGAAGTAGATTCCTTAGACTAACTAGTAGTTTTGGTAAAAGAAATAGCAAAGGAGATGATAATATGACTAAAAGAGATGTTTTTAATTTATCTGTGAATTTTAGGTAGCCAAGTTCACCCTTGTTCCTGGTCATTGTCATGACCTCTTTTCCATAAACTACTATTTATTCACTCAAAATATAAATTTATTGCTATTTGGATAAAAGGCAATTGGGTGTTACAAAGAGGTGTTGTGACACCAGCTCTGAGTTTATAAATTAGGCAGGGATAAGGAGGTATAGATTTAATTATGGTACCAAGAGTGTCATAACAAATGTCATTCCTAGAAATAATCAACACAAGCCAAAGATTTAGAGGTGGGGGAAATTTTTCAAAAATAAAGGGAGAGAGAAAAGTCGCAGTTTAGAAACTAGTATTTAAATTCCAACTAAAGTAATACCAGATATGTAGGAAAATATAAAATTTGAGAGCCATAGGCCCAGGGAAAAGGGAAGATTTGGGGTTGGAAAGAAGGAAATCTTTGTTCAGGAAGGAAATGTAGAAGGGATCCTCAGTGTGCACCAGAGGTAAATCAAGGTGGACTGCCAGTTCTGAAGACAAGTTTCTTCATTCCCTGTAAACACTCAAGGGTAGACTTCAGCAGCCTCACCTGGACGAGTTCCAACTCATCCTCTGGGTAATATAAGCTCATTTACCAGCCACAGACTTGGACTGTCCTGCCCAGACCATGCCTACCACCCTTCCTTATTCATTCCAAACAACACCACAGCCTGTGTGACATTTGTAACTGAGAGTCTAAAAATCCTTTAGACATTTCCCCTTGCTGTTAGGATTAATCTTTGTCACCATATATTATTAAGGCCTATACAAGTTGGCCCTTCCCATCCTCTTTAGCCTCAACTCTCACCACAAGGTTTCTTTCCCCTCCTCCTTTCTTCTCCACCCTCAGGCCTTCCATTTTGTTTTTTGTTTGTGTTTGTTTTTGTTTGACAGGTCTAATGGTTGAACACAGGCAACTGCTTTACCACTGAGCTATATCCCCAATCCCCTACATGTCACTGTGCTACAACCCTACTTTTCTTCTCTCAAAAATGTTCCTTCTGCTATGATTTACTTAATTTCTCCATACCCACTTTCAGACTCTTCCTTAATAATATGTATTACAGCTGAAGTTTTAGCTCTTTGTATATTTGATGGTCTCCGCCTCTAAACTATAAGCTCCTAGAAGGGAGCTTTTATACATAGTGGGCTTAAAACATCTGTTGTGAATGGATGAGTCACTCACCTGGGAAGCTCAATAGCATTGAAATTCATTTCAATCCCATTTCCATCCCTTCCAGGCTTTCTTACCTATAAGTCCCTATGTATTAAAAATACACTAAATGAGAGAAATTTTTTTTTTCCTATGAAAAAAGCCATGCTTGTATGGAGAGCTGGGTAAAATCCTCAAGGTCCCAGCTTCTTCCATCTTTTTTTTTTTTTTTTCTTTTTTCTGGGATAAGCCAGCAATCTGAGAAATGAGCATCTCTGCCATAGTGTTCTATAAAGGTGTTATAAGCGTTAAATATATACATAGCATTCCTTTAGTACAGTGCTTGGCACATAGTCATCCCTCAGTGAACCATGACTATTATTCTCTCATTCCACTTAGTTTATAATAAATGACTTACCAGAAAGGCTTTACCATTCTGTAGGTGTTCCTGAAATCTTCGTTTGTCTCTTTATTCCTTTCTTCATTCTTAAGCCAAAGTACTTGTTTTTTGTTTGTTTTTTACTATGTTTGCACTTAATTTACCCTATATTTAGGGAAACACATCTTTTTTTTCCTTTCCATAGTTCATGGAGTGGCTCTTCTGCCATCCTACTGGGACTTTGCTTTCCTTAGCCTCTTCATAATTCCTGTTTATATATAAAGTCAGCTTCCCCACAGCTAAGGTAAACTCTGTGGATCAAATTCAATGCAGAGCTGTTTTCTTCTTGTTGGTGTTGCCATTTGGGTGCATATCTGCCTTTGTTTAAGGCTATACCTTGATGTGTAGCGATGGAGTGGAGACTTAAGTGAAAAATTAAATAAGACAGTGTGTGTTCATCCTAGACAGTTTCTTTTCTTTATTTCCTGTGAAGGCAATTGACCGAGGCCTGGGCTTTGAACTTGTCTATAGTCCTGCCATCAAAGACTCCACAATGAGAAGGTACACAATTTCCAATGCCCTCAATTTGATGCAGATCTGCAAAGGAAAGGTATGGTTCCATAAATTTTAGAATTTAGAACATTTAGAATGTTTTAGATGTGAATCTGACAGTTTATTATTAATACCCTGAAATTGTCAAACTGATTCCCTTTTCCTAAAGCAGGAAATTCTCAAGGCACAGGCATAAATTCTTCAATTTCAATGAGCTCTGCAAGTTTTAAGGGAAAGAAAAATATCAACAGAACAATAGCAAAAGGGAGGGGAAAGATGTGTTGAAAGCCTTTATCTTTTGATAAGGAATTTGCAATTTACCACTATGAAAAGAGTAGTCTAGATAACAGTTGTTTTGTTATCAGTGAGTTGAATTAAGGGTATATGACCTTTTCAACTAGTTTTTTAAACTTAATTCATGTCTACTAAGATTTGTTTAGAAAGCCTGTTCTGTATCTTTTTATAGGCTGCCTTTAGTTTGACATGAGGTCTTTCATTTTTCACTTTAATTGTTTAACTTATCATTAGAAGAAGTTGGTTTTTGAGCCTTAAATGTTAAAATGTGGTTACTGGTTGTTTATAAGACATTTCGGTGATTTTTTTTTTTTTATTTTATCTAAGATTAATAGTGAGTACTTTCTGTTTTGTAGAATATAATTATATCCAGTGCTGCAGAAAGGGTAAGTCTAGCATGAAGTACTTTGTTTTTGCTCTTCCAGTTAGAAAACTTTGTTGGATTTCTATGGGAGAAATTAAAATAGTAATATAATGAGTTTCATGTTTTCTCTTTTAACTGTGCATTTGCTCATAATAATTGCTGAAAGGTAAAATTTATCCCCATTCATTCTGGGCTTCAAGTTTTGTTTATATAGTTTTCCTTTATACTGTTACAAATGCTTTTAAAGGTTTGTTTATATTTTCATAAACCTAAGAAACCCATCAAAACTATGAGGATCTAAATGTATGTAATTGATTTGTTTTTGGATACTTAGGCATCCTATTAATTCACTGCAAATAAAGCCATTGAAATGGTATTAAATAACTTCTCATATCAATTTTTCGTTCATTTTATTTTAGCCTTTGGAAATAAGAGGACCATATGATGTGGCAAACTTGTATCCTTTAGTTTGACATGAGATTTCCCGTTTTTAACTTTAATTATTTTACCTTATCATGAAAATAAGTTGGTATTTTAGCTGTAAATATAAAATGTGATTATTTGTTATTTGGGTTATTGGACTCTTCAGTTTTTTTTTTACATTAGTCTAATATTAATATTAATCACTTTCTATTGATATGTTCTTTTAAGAAATTTAGAATTTGAAGTGGTACTAGAGTGTAATACGATTTTTTTCTCAACCTCTTACTGTAAGCTTACCAATTAATGTCTTCAGAAATTTTCTCTTGTTATAGAGAGCTTCATCCTTCTATTTTGTTTTCATATTTGGATTAATCATCAGATAGAAAATGAGAAAAGAGTTAAATAAGTCTCTTCTCAGATGCATGTTCCAGTTGGGGTAAGAACTACTGTAGAATTCATTAGTCTCTCTCAATGTGACAAGATGAGCTGGCATTTAGTGTCATGTTTGTGTTAGTTTCGTGTCCTTAGCTGACTATGAGTTGAGATCCTTAATGGTGCTACCAGAGGGTTGCTGTTTGGACTATCTGAAAGTGATGCTAAGGCTGCAGTGTCCACCAATTGCCGAGCAGCACTTCTCCATGGAGGTGAGCAAGTTCTTTCAATAAAAACTGAATGGTCCTGTTAGAGGCAACTCATTTTTATCAGACAGTTGAACCATTATCTACTTTTATTATCCTATCTCCAGAGTTCCTTTGAGGTCATCTTTTCTCACCTGTTTTACCCATATCCATCATTTCAGGCTGTCATTTCTGTAGTTTGCAGAATGAATATACTTCACATTACAGAAATAAATATTGAATGCTGTTTCAAGCTACATATGTGTGCTGTAGCCCACGTGATAACTTCTAATCTTTCCTCATCCCACCTCTCCAGAGGAATATGCTTTCCTTGATGAAAATTGCTATTTTAGAGAATTGGTATGTTAGAAATATATGGTAAGCTGTTTATTAGAAAAACAGAAACAGTGAATACATTTTCAAAAACCCACCTAACAAAACTTGGACTGTAACTTTTACATTTATAACAACTCAGAATGTTTCTTTTTATATTTTTGTTGTATATGTACAGACTTTATTTTTAAGTCACATTTTTTAAAGTATATATATATATTTCTTTCTTAGCCTTAATTCCACTACTATAACCCACTAAATTTCTTGTTCATCGCATGATAAAAATTTAAATAGAAGTATAACAAAATTGTGGAAAATGAGAATAAGTTTTATTACATAATTTAAATTTTTGACCTGTGGTTTTGCTTCATTCTCTGTAATTTTTAATAGTAGTTGCTGGGGTTAAGAAGCAGTTTAAGTGGTAGCATCCAAATGAATCTTAAAGTTTAGAATAGGTTGTTACATAGACTAAGTTATTTGTGATAGGAATAGCTAGGTTATTGAGGGCTTGTTTTATTTGTTTGTTTGTGTGTGTACTTTAATGATCTGATTTCCACTTGAGAAAACTGCTTATTTTATTGGCTTACCATAAATTACATGATTTTCCTTTTAACATTTTTATTTGGAGATTTTTGTATTATATAATCTTTACCTGATCATGTGAGCTCTGGGAATGATCAAATTAATTGGGATCTTTATCAAGACATTCTTGAAATTAGGGAAGAGTTGGTTCACATTTTGGTAGTACTTCCATTATTTCTGTATATTTTTAAATGAGTGCATAATGGGCTGGGAGTGGTAGTACAATAATAGAATGCTTGCCTCGCATGTGCAAGGCCCTGGATTCAATCTCTAGTACTGGGGGCAAAAAGAAGAAAAACGATTTTGGATAACTTGTGTTCAAAAATAGACTAAACAAGAAAGGGAACCGAAAGGAAAAGTAGAAAATGTGAAATTACATTTCTGCATCTGACTTAAAAGGCTTAACTACTTAACATATGATATTTAAAGTGAGGCTTTTCTAGAATCTAAACTAAAAGACTCTTTAGCTTCAGGTGGCATTACCAATGTGTTTAGGACAGGCATAGTTCATAACTGCTATTTCTGTAAAATTCTGATTATCATAAAATATAATAAATTATAATTAGATAATAAATTAAAGTTACCCTGGTTTTAGTTGACATCAGAATGAGATGGTAGTATGAGGTATCTTAAGATTATAATTCACAGTATTTAAATGAAGAGTAATCTGGATTCTGATTAATGAATAACTTAACACAATTTGTTTCTTTCAGCTCTTCTAACTATTTCAGTGGATTGTATGTTTTGGGTGGTATATACATAGCTGGATAGATAATTGATGGAAATTATAGGGGAATGCAATGATCTGTATATTTGACAGAGTCATTGAAATATTTCTCATGAAAATTTTCTCTCATTAATAGTGCTTATAAATCATATAAGAAAACATCATCACTGTAAGAAAACAAAAAGAGTAGTGGACCTTTATGAAAAAACAGACACAATATGAATACTGGTAAATGTCTATGGTTCACCTTTGAGCTAATGGTTACCCATGCTTTAACATCAGCCTTTACTAATGAGAGCCCTTGAGAATTTAGTTCTGTTGCTTAAGGCCATTGACAAAATCCAATTAATACTGAAAGATACACAAAAACTAGTTGGAAAAAATGCATTCCATTCATAAATTTTAGAGATAAAGGACTATCGTTTGACTCTCCGTTTGTAGTGTGTCTTCCTGCATTAAGGAAAAAGTAGAATCTTATTTTATAGTCTGAAAAAATCTCTTCTGTTTTGCTCTTTTAGTAGCAATGTGTTTGTAGAGAAAGTGACTTGAGTAAAATAAAGTTGATGGCCTTTGATCTCAAAAAAAAAAAAAAGATTACTAAATCATCGTGGGTTACATTAGAAGAGAGAAATGATTCGGAGGAAAAGGATTCAAAGTGTCATTATACTTTCATTGATGAAATCTCAGGTGGCATCTGTATCATTTTGAGTGCCACATTTAAAAAGGATGGCACTTCACTGGAGCACTTCCAGAAGATGGCTGATAAGTGCTTAAAGGGTCTAGAAACCTCATGATGAGGGAGTCATTGAAAGCAGTGCAGGAATGCTTACTTGGCAAACAATACTTTGAATATGTTGTGGTTTTCAACATTGAAAGGCTTGCCCCTGGCAATCAGAACTAGACAGATTCTAGGTTTCCAGAAAACAGTAGAAATTCTGAGGAGGTTATGAGTAAAAAGTTTCAAGGGCACAGTCTTCAATGTATGAAGTGTCCTCAGCCATTGGACTGAAATGGACCTGGTAGGAACAAGGCTTTAACTCTCTTGAACAAAATAGCACACTCATCAATGATTGTTTTAGAGCTAGTTGTAGATTTTCCTTGGCAAGATGATTAAAGAAAATGCTTTGTGTAAAAGCAAATTAAAACAAAAGCTCCACACAAATAAAACTTCTTGTTGTTATAAAAAAATATATTTTTTTAAAAGACACTAAAAGAGCTACTTTAATTGATAGCTATAAACTGAACTTATTGTTCAGTTATTTATGTCAGCTTAATTAAGGAGAAAATATTCATGTAGTAAAAATAAAACATTTCTGAGATGGAACTAAAATAATTCTTAGTGAAATTAACAATGTTATAAAGTGCTTGTTTTCACAATTCATGTATTTTTATTTATTCAACTGTTTTTAGACTATTATCAATCATAATGATATAAATATAAATGCAACATTTTTCATTTGGTGAAATAGAAATCATTGACAGTTTTTGAGGTTTTCTCATTGTGTTGGCATTTTAATGTCCTTGAAATCAATTTTGTCTCTTTTATAAATTAAAATGTTTTTAAAACAACTGGTAGTTAGTCCTCACAAATGGAAAGGTAATGCTTAGCTCTTCTGAGCCGACTTTACTTTTATTACTTAAAATAAGAAATAATGCTTAACTGAATTCCTGTTCATCATTTATTTTTCCATTTTATCTCCTTTGTATCTAAAAGGTATCTTCTTCCTTCTTCATAATCCCTCTCCATTTCTTAAGGACAAAGTTTGAGTCTCTTCATGACATTCTGACCTTTCCTAAGCTACCCTTCCAGCTTCATTTCCTCTACACATTCTTGCCCAGGTTATTCTTACCTCTGTCTCCTTGCTTTCTTTCCTCACCTTGTCACCACCTTTTTCTTTATTCCAAATAGTGTCACTTTTTTAGAGAAGATAGTTTATTGGTTTATCCACATGATTCTTAATGGTTTTCCCCATACCTATTGTATTTGCTCTTAATGTGTTTATTCCAGTGTATTGTAGGAAAAGCATAGTCTATTACGGATCTTTATGCCCTGTGTGTATGACATAGTGATAGTACCTGACCCATTAGTAGGTTTTAGCAGAAGTTGGCTAAATTTAAGTGGACCTCTGCTGCTAACTTGATCTGAGCATCTAAAATAATCCCTGTTGTTCTTTGCCCATTGTCACTAACACATAAAGGATCAATAACTGAATGTTTGACTGGGCACGGTGGTGCACACCTGTAATCCCAGTGGCTCAGGAGGCTGAGGCAAGAGGATCACAAGTTCAAAGTCAGCCTCAGCAACTTAGCAAGCCCCTAAGCAACTCAGTGAGACCCTGTCTCTAAATAAAATATAAAAAAGGGCTGGGGATGTGACTCCTTGGTAAAGCACCCCTGTGTTCAATCCCTGGTACCAAAAAATAAATAAGTAAATAGAGTGTGTTTGGTTTTGTTCATTTATTCAACAAGCATTTATTGGACACTTGTTATATAATGAGGGTATAGGCGGTACAATATAATTGATTTTTCAGAGATACATTAATCCTGAGTGTGTGAAAGAGAGATGTTACATGCTATTAAATGAGGTGAGCCCACCCCCCACTATAGGAGCAATACAGTTGACTTACTGCTATATTCACTCTTGTGATTTGTTCAGCTTCTACCAAATACGCGATTTGGGTTCTGGCTGCATAATATGCTACAGACAGACCATGACCATTAAAGATAAAATCTTGGGCTGGGGTTGTGGCTCAATGGTAGAGTGCTTGCCTAGAATGTATGAGGCACTGGGTTTGATCCTCAGCACTACATTAAAAATAACAATAATAAGTAAATAAGCAAATAAAACAAAGTTATAAAAAGATAAAATCCTATTCTGAGGTTTTTACCCATGAGGTAATCCTTAGGAATAAATTAGATGTTAGTAATATATGATTTGTATATATTTAGGAAAAAGATAATGACCATAAATGGCATCAGCAGCCATAGCAGTTCACTATGGTTTTATCATTTACTAATGCCATCAGCCAAAGTCAAAGTCATACTTGTTAAACCACTTCTCTTTAAATTGTGTCTTTCCTTCACACACTAATTTCTGTTTTATAGAAACTAGAAAAACTGCTTTTGGAATTATTTCTACAGTGAAGAAACCTCGGCCATCAGAAGAGGGTGATGATTCTCTTCCAGCTTGCAAAAAAGCTAAGTGTGAAAGCTGAAAAGAATGGACCAGTCTCTGTCAGCACTACTTTCTTCCGTTTTGTAGGTTATCATCCACAATAAAAAGAAAATTTTGCATGATTTGCTGTTTTGATTTGAAGCTAGAAACCAATGGTCTTAATAATTATTTTACACTGAAGCCATTAAAACAACTAACAAAACCTAGTGACGCGTTTAAAAAAAAAAAACAGGCCAATAGTTTAATGGATTTAGTATATTTTAAAAGAAAAACAGGCTAGTTTGTTTATCCTTTGTGTAAGTGAAAAATAATAGAGACAAAGGCCTATAATCCCAGCAGTTTGAGAGGCTGAGGAGGAGGATTGTAAGTTGAAAGCCAGCCTCAGCAACTTGGTGAGACCTTAAGCAACTTAGTATGAATCCACCTTCAAAATAAAAAATAAAAGGTCTGGGAATGTGACTCAGTAGTTAAGTTCAGTAAGTTCAGTTCCTCTTACCAAAACAAATGTTTCAATATTTTGAGAGATTCTAATATTAATGTTTCTTATTCATTTAAAAACTAATGCTTTTCTACTTGATATACATAGCTTATTATTTTTAATCAAAAGTGGTTATTTTGAAGACCATTACAACTTATATTAAGGGGGTGACTTTTAGTTGATCTATTTATGTATTCATTGTCAGAGTTCTTTCTAAAAGGAATTGAAGGAGAGGGAGTGTGTACATAAAATTACACTTGACCTCTTCCATTTCTTTTTTCTTACCTTTGTGATGTATGTGAAAAAGATCCCTTCCCTTTAATTGGAAACCCCTGAAAAAGTAATAAGTGATTTTCCTCATGGCTATATTTAAGATATCAAAGCATTTGACTCAAAACACTTCAGAAACAATTTTTTAAAAATAATAGAATCATGATGTTAAGTAGAAGTAGCCTTTCTTTTAAATATATGCACTTATGCTATATTGATATAAGGACCCTAAAACCTAATGGAGTAAGTACAGCAAGAGGTCTAACTGAATTTAAAAAAAAAAAAAAAAATCAATGAGAAAAAAACACCAGTTTAAGAATCAAAGTTAATATTTAAAAGAGAAAGCCTTATACTAATCTCACAAATGTAAATGCCCAAATAAAATTTTAGTAGAAAGAAACCATCGAAACAACATGACCCTGTCAGAGTTATTCCAGGAATTCAAGGGCAGTTCAGTTCTGAATGTTAGGATATTTCAGTTCTTTCTAATGCAATATACTACATCACATTAATAAATCAAATGAGAAAACTATATTAGCCAAATGAAAAGACTTAAAATCTTTAATACCAAAAAGGCATTTGATAAAATGTAAAATCCACTCAATTTATAAATAGCAATGACAATCCTCAGTAAAATACAAGTTGAAGAATATTGCACAAGTACACATGTGTTTATACATACACACTTGCATTTATATTAAGCATGGTGGTTCTAAAATTAAAGTATCAACTGATACCCACTTGGCCAATTTGATGTACTAGGATACCTATTGCCTCTGTAACTGATGGCTGCTGCTGCATCCATACACCCCCTCTGCCCCTTCTTTGCCTGTTTGCTTCTACCTTTACCCCACATGAATTCACCAAAAGTCAGCTGTCTATTTATGCCAATTGTGTTTAATATTGTAAATTATGCAAGTTAATTCAAAAACTATGATAGTTGATCAACTATGAAAGTCATAGAAAGAATCCCCATCTAAACTGATTCTTTGGAAAGACTTGGGAAAGATGAATCATGAAAAAGAACTGTCAGTTCTCTGCTTCTCCCCATTCAACAAGACAACTGCATCTTGTATAGTGCCAGCCACCACCTTGATATAATGGTGAAGGTCATAGTAACTGGATATGACCATATTGAGTGCTGGTTACTTGAGCTAATTTTAACTCTAACAAAGTGAATGTTGTTTATTGAGGGCCACAACCAAGTCAAGATGGCGCCTGGCAGTTTGCCAGGAGGAGTGGTTTGTGAAGTAACGCCAGTGAGCCATTAAGATGATGAGGATTCCTTAATGACTGACTGCTGTATCTAGATGATGTTAATTAAGTTAAACTGTGTGTAATTAGTTAGGTATACCTCTGCTGTCCCGTAATAAAGCGGCACCCGCTGTTTCAACCTTCACAAGTTGCTTGTCA